TTTTGAAGAAATACTTTGAAAAAATATCTAAAATAGCGTTGTGTTGTAATAGCAAACAATCTTTTTCAAGTAATAATTGATAAAATGTGAACTTAGAGCAAATTTTCAATCTGAAGAGATTTGTTTTTAAAGGAAATWAACAGCAAAACAGAAAGACTGTACAATTATCAAACCACCAGCAGGGGGAGATGTGACCCATAACAGGAGGCTGACAAAGTCCATCAGGAGTTCTTTAGAATATTGTTTAAAACAAAGCTTTTGATAAATGAACAGTAATGAAAGTGTCTGTTAGTTATAGCAGCAAGCACAACAGAAGAAATCAGAAATMATCACTAGAGAAAAAAAAAATCCAYGCACAGTGAGGCAGCAATAACTCACTCTAGGTCTGCAGCACTGTCGATTTTCAAGAAGTCCTGTTTGGCACGAAGTAAGATCTCTGGCTCAAGCCTTGGGGTGATATGCAGAGGCGCAGGATAGTGTGGGCAAAAAGGCAGGGCCCATGGGCATCAGAGGCAGTGAGAAGAAATCAAGCACACAAAAACAGGACAGACACCAAATCAAAGCACAGGCCCACACTCAAACGAGCGCTAGTTCGTTGGCGCAGGTACATTTTAAACACAGGTTAGTGACAGTAAACCCAATCTGTAAATAGAACCAGAACCACCCAGTGATCGGCTTAGTGGTGCGGTTAGCAGACCTCAGCTCCTGATGGGAGTTTGTGTGGAAGATGAACCACCGGAACAGGTGTTGGCTCACCACATCAGTAAGTAGATTGCCGGCATTAGTTTGCCCACAAACTAGCATGTTGGGAGCTGATAAGCGTGTGTGCGTTAAGTGAAAGGAGAAAGGCAGAGCACCGTCCGTCTGCTCGAGCTAATGGAAACGGTTGGTTTTTACCGCCTTCTGTTCACCGAGTGTGTTTGCATTTCCTCACTTAATGTCCTGACTGATCTGCCTCTCCAGGCGGTGCCGCCGCTCCTCCAGCTGCTCGATGGGACTGTCCTCCGGAAACTCGTAGGGAGCGCTTCGCATCTCGCTCTCAGTCATGCTGCGTGTGAACAGCTCCTGGTTTTGAAGGGAGGCGAGAAAATTTGTGGCAGTCGTGAAACGGAAAACTGCGTAAAAATCTGTGAAGCGCACACAAACTCAAAGCCAGTGGTTTTGTTTTTTTTTTTTACACTCAGAGAAATTTGTGTTTTTAAAGTCCTGAAATTCTTGTTTTATCAGGATTTTTCTTCAGTTTATCAAGAAATTTTTGATTATTTCTACAGAAGCAACTAAAGTGAATCAGGGGTGATTTTTTTATTAATTTACTAGCCTGGATTTTGCAAATGTGTCGATAGTTTTTAGAATGACCTGTTTGAAGAAACAGTGTTTGATGATGACTGAATTGATGAGCTAATGGCTAGTCCGAACGGAGTCGAGCCTAAACTGTCACCTTAAAACAACTTCAGTCTTCAAACATTTACATTGCAGTCAGATTTATATTACAAAGATATTCCAGCAGAATTATTGAAATGTTTCTGCTAAACAGTGCTACAGCTACCTGCTACTGCTACCATTTGTACTTGCAACCAGAGGCCCTATTCGCATGTGAACAATCTGCAAATGTTAGAGGCATGATGTGTCAGGGGATCAGAGACGGTCAGGTGTCTTTTGAGATTAGAGTTGTTTTGAAGAGGCAGCACTCCACTCTGCTGCTCAGGTTTCAGTGTGCTCTCAGCCCTCACCTCCGCTATCTCTTTGTATTTTTCCTCCATGGATGTTCGCAGGTCGACTGGGTAGTGTGAATGAGAAACGGGTGTTCCTGGAAGGGATCGCTGGGGCTTGAGAGATTTTGGCCCAGACACAGCACCACCGTCTGTAAAAAAAAAAAAAAAAAACACACAGGAAGGAGTTAACAGCACCAGACGTGCTGTCTGTGTGTGTGTGTGTGTGTGTGTGTGTGTGTGTGTGTGTGTGTGTGTGTGTGTGTGTGTGTGTGTGTGTGTGTGTGTATACATTTCACAGAAAAACAGCCTCACGGGGACCAAAGCCTGGTGTGTGAATTGAGTCTAGGATAGATTTAGGGTCATGTAGGTACTGGTTAGAGATGCAACGATTCAGAAAATTCACGGTTCGGTTCGATACTTTAGTCTCACGGTTCGATATTTTTTCGATACAAAAAAGAGAAATGTCCNGTGTGTGTGTGTGTGTGTGTGTGTGTGTGTGTGAGTGAGTGATTTCTTTACACACACACATCATCCTGTGCTAACCAAAGGCAGAATCAACCCATTAAAATACTTTTTTAAACCAAGTGCCAGACACATTTTTAAATTAAGCCACAGTTGTTTGATTGGTTTTCAAGTAAAATAAACTGCATGAAAAAGGTAGGTTTATACTCTCAGGTCTTTTCCCCGACTGCATTTTTTTTGTAAATAGGAGCAAATATAAGATTCTTTTCTTCTTCTGCTGCCTTTCATTTTATTTGATTTGTATTGTTTTGTTGTATGTAATGGGTTTTGTTTTGTTTTTTTAAAATGAAATTAATAAATACTATTGGAAAAAATAGATTTTCATGGAACATGTAAATTCTGCATGTTGTATTAAGTTAGCAAAGGCTGGGTGTGTGAATAAAAAGAGAAGCTGGATTTACAGGTCCTGTAGTTTGTTATGTAAATGTTTTTTATGAGTCATTAAACCTCAAGCCAACCTTTGAGATCTTTGAAGGATTCAACTGCAGCTACAGTACAGAAGAGCAGAAAAGCGAYGATAGATCACTTCAGAGAAGAAACAGTTCTGTCAAACTTTCCTCTGCTGAAGGTAGAGACACTTYACCACAAACACACTACTTTTATACAGTCAAAGACAGAAAAAGAAGGACATTTTGTTTAGTTTGCCTAAGATTATACTGTAAAGTGTGAAGTTTAGTCCAGTRACTGTTGATTAGCACCTGAAACGAACATTTAAAAAGTTTGAGTTTTTTTAGGCAAACGTGTCGTTTTGTCAGAGCYGTTAAGAAACACTGTCAGCTAAAAACAGTTATACTCATCCTACAAGCTTCTGCAAACATGGAGCTCTYAATGTTGCACAATCTTTGACAAAGACCCTCTTTTCCCTACTTTCAGCAGCCTGAACACAGTATTTTTCAGGAGTACACAAAACTGAATTGGGTAGAAGGCAAACTCAAATTAAAGTGGCTGCAATTTGTGACAAAAAATAATAAATGCCAACGAAATGTCAAAAAAGCAAGAAGAGCTTCAGAAAAAAAAGGCTCACGTTAAAAATAATTTCCTTTCAGTCAGGCGTTCATGCTGACGAARTTGAACACACCTGACTGAAAAGAGGCGACATCGACTCCAGACTAAACACAAAAAGAGCTAAATGATGCTCCACTCTGTTGACTGGGACCTTAAATTGAATATTTTTCTAAAGACAATTGTGCATTTTAAAGAAAGCAGCAATTTAAAGGCTACTATACTTATACAGTCCCACACAGTAATTTGCTCAGGTTTTTGGTTTTGGGAGTGGTGTGCTCTCACAGATCTATAACTGGAGTCATTATTGCTGCTGCGTCTGGCTGCTGACAATTASTGTCAGACGTCAGCTTCTAAAACGAGCAGAAAATAACTCTGCAGGATATTAATGCAAAAACATTTGATTGTCACTTTTAGTCGTGACTGAAAACAAAAATCTCTGTATAAATTTTAGTGCTGACATCATCTGGGCAAAAGGCTACGTGTAGTTACTATCTTACCTGTTGAAGATCTTTGAATGACCTCAGGTAAAGAAACTGTTTCATTTCTACTTTCTTCTACGATCTGTGCTCCCAGCCAAAAAGTAGATTGCTGCTGTTTTGAAACAGCTGCATTCAATAAAACCTTTTTTAAACATCTTTTTAAACATTCCAGTAGGAATTGCCCCAAGCTTTACTGGGAGTGCTACAGCTAGCTGCCTCTGCAGAATTCAATGCGGCCAACTGTGGAACGCAAACTTGATGGTGGTGAAAATGTTTTGTAAAAACAGTTTTCACATGAACTGCTAAGAAATATTTGACAGGAGTTGTTTTAAAATGGACAACTCTCTTTAAATCCTTCTTTTTCACATTTGAATCATTCAGGACTGTTTGGTCTGAATTCCTCCTTATTGTAACTCCACAAGCCCCTCTTTCACCTCCTTTCAGAGGTGTATCTCAGATCAACTCGTTTTGAGGCTGTCTCTTTAAAAGCAAACGAGTTGCTTCACACCCCGTCTCTCCTTATTTTAATTTCTGAAACGTGGCAACCCTCACCAGAATTAAACTCTGTTTCTCCAAACTGAGACTGTTCAACAGGTAAGACAATACTCTTTAAATAAATCACCACTTCTAAAGATCTGAAATATTGCTTTTTACTGTAACAAGCATCATTCCTAATAAAAATAAATCATATCATCTCTAAGGCTTTCCACCACACAACCAACCAAACTCTTTTTGCTTCTGTGAGCCGATTTACATGAGCGGCTCAATCTTACATTAGATTTTACTTTGAAAAAGACACAAAAAGAAAATAATAATAATGTTCTCTGAGGGTCGTGGCACACAGGCTGGCCTTCCCACCTCCAGATTTGTCTCAAACTCGATGTTTACACAGTGAGTGTAAATAAAGTGCACCGACCCTTTATTGTCACGATAGCAGCATAGACTCACCTCTTACCCAAGCAGGTTTTATTGACAAAGCTGTCCATCTCAGCTTTGTGTCACATCCCTGGAACCTGAGTCTGCACACCGCCTACGTGATCAATAAGCATCTGTGCAGCTGCCTCCGCTCTATAAGGAGCAATACACTTTTTATCGTCYGCATTCTGCTTCCATCAGCAGCCTGGCTTTTGGCAGCGAGATGCAAGATCAAGACCGTTCGGTGYATTCGCCACGGCTTTTTCTTTTCTTTGTTTCCAACAGAATTATTGTTAGATGAAATCTTTTTTCTTTAATTTCTGCACATAAACACRTGTTGGATAGTTCAAGATTCTTTGTGAGAATTTTGACTTTTATTAGTGTTATAGTTTTATTTGTTCAAACCATTGTTCCTTTTGTTTACATTAAAAGTCCCTAAAATTCTAAGAACAGCAGTAGCAGCTCCGAACATAAATATTGGCAGGGAGATATTAATTTCCTGAATCAATATCAACATCATTGTTACAATTTGTACAATGTTTGCTGTGATAAAGATAGACRTTAATTATTTAATCAGGATAGTACTTTTTATTGTGGGTAGATTTAATAAGACAGCTTTCTCGATTGACTGGGGGAGTACATGTTAATATGATAAATTCACTAACAAACGCAGGGCATCGGCCTGTACCGCTCTTTAACCGTAAATAAGTAAAAAGCTGAGAATAAAAAAACAAAAAAAAAAAACAACATTTCATAATCCATTTCAAATTGTCAAAATAGTTGAAAATCACACCAAACTAAACACAGCAAGCTAAGTAAATAACCGATTTGCATTGTTTATTAGGAACTACTTTGTATAGGCCACACCTAAAGAATGGTAACATTTAAAATCTTAATGAGAGCAGTGTATTACCATCTTATCTTTAACTCGCTTTGCTCTGCARTATCCCAGTTTGACCTGTTTTGTATCAGATTATACAAACAAAAGCGGTTCTGATTTAATCAGTCCTCACACATGGAGTCCCCCGTGATTTGCTTTGGTTCTGCTGATCGAGGCTCTAATAAAACTTTTGTTTTTCTTAACAGACTCTCATTTTGTSCCTGAGAGGCCAGAGCGAGAACATGAGCTGCAGGTGTTCCTTAGCAACTACAGATGAGAATAAACCTAGTTTGCATCCACCTCTTAAACATATCATCAGATTAAAAAAAACACAAGAATGAAATTAATTTCCTGGAACCTAGAGCCAGTCAAGTCTCTTATAAACTGTTGGGTCAGCTGGAGGGAGAAATATTTCATTAACTATATAATTGATTTGCAGATAAGATGAGGCAGACGTCACATGAAAACACTATTATTATAATGGTCCTGAAGCTCGGCGTGCTCATGGGGACTGAAAGTGAGACCTCAGCAGTACACAGTGTGATGCCCACACAGGCTGCCTGAGGGGTACATCTTTAATGAAGAGACAAGTCTTTTCCTTCGGTTTCAGCTGCAACACTTCAGCTGTTCACAGCTGCTGCATCAGACCGAACTGGAGCAAAAAGCAGAGGGGGACTTTGTGCTCCTAAAATGTYCATTAACTAGCAGATTATAGAAACGGACGAATCTGTCATTAAACACTGTCCGCATTCATCATTTCCTCACTTTATTTTTATGCCTACTCTCCCCGTCTCCTTCCTGTCACTATAAAGCTTGTTTGAGCAGTGCTCTGGAAGTGATAAATACCCAACACAGAGCTGCTGAAACTTCTTAGATACACAACATTCATGTTTAACAAAGCTACAACATGGGAAGGTACTGTTTGTGGGTTAATCATCATAGGTTACAGTACCTCTGTCTGCCTGTTCTCTCCTGTTCTCACAGTCTCCTCTGCGGTCACAGTGGCCTGGTCTGAGCTCCTGAGGGATGCTGGGACGTGAAACTAGGCCTGGGACAGCCGATGCACCCTCCCCCGCTGCTACAGTGGAAGGCAGAGAATGACAGCAAACAGGAACCGCACACACTCTCCTAAAACACCATCTGCTCTGACAACCGGGGATCGTTTTGTCTTTGCTCCTCCTGCTGTAAGTGTCTCCAGCTTCAAAGCGATCCCTAAAGCAGAGGTTGCTTTTTTTGTCTTTTTGTTGGTGGTGGTTTTTTCACCTCCTCTTTCCCCTGATTCTGTATCGGAGCTGCTTCCTGGATTGCACCGGTTCTCAGTGCATGAACAGCACAGCCTTCAAGCTCC